AAACTTATTGGTATCAATGGATCCAGTCTATTATCACCATTATGTAAATTAATTGAAACTTGTTTGCATCAAAAAGCAACGTGGAATACCTATTACAATATGGAACAATAAAACTAATAAAATTTTAGTGAAAAGTCTCGATGGAAAACATGTCTTCAAAGCAAACGTATCATTTTTTTTCGTCCTTCTTAACAATACTTTCCAAGTTATTAATTTTTTGTTCTCAAAAAAAATTTTAATATTTAATATAATGTAATGTAATAAATATGTAAAACCAATGATTTTGAGAATATATTGTAAGTAGTATAAATCGGTTGTTGAGTAATCACTTCACACATATAATCAGATACACATAATACTAATTAATAGAAGTCGGTTAACAATTTAACTAATAACCAATCGGATGATCCTCGATCAAAGATCATTCTACCTGTGATCATTATCAATAAGCAAGATTAATAATAGTAATAGTATTTTATCATGCATTTTCTATGTAACGTATTAAATGTTAGTTACTAAACAACTAATCACGCGATTTAGTAATTTTTTTTAATAAAATTGCAATTAAATAATATAAAAGAAAAAATTAACATACATATACAGTCAATCCTCTCTCTAAGTCCACGCACTATATATACCCTCTCTAAATGTACGCATGAATGATAGTGATATGTTCCCAAGGAGAGTGCACTTAGAGGGGTTGACTGTAATAATAATACTATTTAATTAATACACGTATACAATAAAAAATAAGTTTATCTATTATAGATTATACAATTTTTATAGTAAATTTTTGATCATAACTTTTTCAGAAACTCAATATTGTTTGTAATATCATTGAATGTTCTTGTAAACGAAGGGTAAATTGGAAATTTTTTTTAAATGTAATGTCAATAATATATTTTTTTTACAATTGAATTACAATTTATTGTAGCGAATAATATACTTAGAATATAATATTCGCTAACAATAGAAAATGCGTTAACTCGCCATGTACATTAACTATATCGGGTTCATTATCCACATCAAGCCTACTATCTACATCAAGTTCATCATCTACATTGAGTTCATCTTCTGATTCATTTGAAATACACTAATCACATCAGATACACTAGATTCACCACTAACTATATCATTGGATATTTGTAATGAGAAGGACGTTTAGAAAAATATAATATTATATCATGATTTGGACCATTAACATCAGATGGATCTTTCAGAAAAGAAATAATATGAGATGTCTGCCTTCTTTCGATATCACCTTTATCATCCTTTATATGATACTTTTTTAGCATAAAATCATCTTCTGTATCCTCAAATTGTGAAATAAGCAAACATATCCACGATAAATTAAACCAAATTGGGTTATTTGGAAAGCAACCATTGTCATTTAAAGCATCGTATGATTTAGCTTCACCTATGCCTTGTTTTTTTAAAATATCATTTAATTTTGGAAGATGTTCATTCCGATCTTTTTTGACGTTCTGAGGTATCCAGCAACAGCATTCTTAAAGTGATGATCTAGAATATAGTTTATTTTTTTTTTTTTGTTTCTAAAAATTCACTTGCTTCCTTTTCGATTTTATCTTTATCATATAAAGATTCAAGTAAATAGTTGTATCCGACTGCTCCATGCCAGTCATTTAAAAATTCTCGTCCATTTGTTAGTATTTCGCAAAGTATTTGAAAGAATTCTTGATTGTTATAACTTGTCTGATCCCTCTCGTTTAAAAATGTTCATAAATAGACTATATAGTTTAAAAACAAATAATAAACATTCGTGCAGTTAAATAAGAAGCAAACATTTTGTTTTATTAGAAAAAAACGCGAAAAATGCAATTAGTATTAGTACTGTGCAATGTGTTACATAGCAATCACATGATAACTCACGCAACTGACGTCATTTACATAAAAATTTTGAATTAATCACCTTCGGTGACATGATCATTTCAAACTCAGGATTTTCCCAGTGTCACAGTTACTACTACCATTGCTTATTGAAATTAAATACAACCAGAAAATTCGTTCACCGTCAACATCAAGCCCATTAACTTGTTGTTCATTTGGTATTGATGCTAGGAAATTGTTTGGTTGCATTGTTAGAGATGTTAAAACGATGATGTTTGTCTTCCAAAAATTCAATGTTGGATTTTAAATGATGTTCAGTAAAGGGAAAATTTATTATTATACATATTATTGCTATTATGGTTATTGATTTTTGTTAGATTTATATTATACATTACTAATACTGAGGTATAAATTTATTATGTAATTATTGTGTAATTAATAGAAATCATTTTTAGGTTTAATTGTTCTTTCCCATCATCATCAACTGACCACCTTACAAATTGATTTATCTCTTCTACAATTGTTATTACTATGAGTAAAAAGTGCATTAAATTATGCTTGTGTTTGTATTACCTGGTTCATAAGAAACTAATAATGATTCTTTTTTAAAATACTTTTAATATTGCTATAATTCTTTTATGTTTACGGGGGTAATACTTGTATCATTTGGAAAAGTAAAAACAAAACTGAAGAGGGATTGTTGCCTCATTTATCTCTAGTATGTAGAAAATGGCATTTAACGAATTTAATAATATTGTATCACAAAAATTACATTTTCATTTTGCTTCATATTAATATTATGTGTGGATCATGGGTGAGTAGTTTCTGCTCATTTGAAACTATCGCGTCCAATTTCCGCGGCATGTTTCCCACCAAATTGGTAATTTGATGCATCTTCTACAAGCAATATTAGATGAAAATTTTAATTATAGGTCTATTAACATGATTTTTATTAATTTTGTTGACTTTGGTAAAGAAGCTAAAGGTATTGGTTTTATATCTCAAGATTGTCATCTTGATAGAAATCAAGAATGAAGACGAGGACGAGGGACGAGAAAAACGAGAACAAAATCGTAATAATATATTGATTTATTATACAAGTTAGAATCATCCATAGAGTTTGAATTATTAATAGAAAAAACGATTAGTGCAACCAAATAGGAATGATCGTAATCAAAAGTCATAATCATGCATGAATGCATGAGATTAAAAAAAAAACCAAATATTTTTTATTTATTTGATATGTGCCACATACATAGCCTAACATTATTTTTGATTAATTCAATTTATTATTTCAGCAATGATTTTTTTTTTATGAATGATAAAAAATTTTTTGCCGCACGTCCCCATTTATAATAAATAAATAAAATTTACAGGGTTTAAAAATTTTGGTGACTATTTACGCACAAAAAAAAATCCAGATATAGGAAACGAAAGAATAGATGTTATTAACAAAAAAGGATTAAGCAACATAATGAAATGCTTTATATTTTTCAGGTTTAGAAGATAATTCCCCAATAAACCTATCAATAATAATATATCTAGCACCTAACCAAATTATTAATTTTAAATATGAAAAAAAAAAATTTAGTAGTTTCAAATATTTTATTTTGGAATAATATGGGTTGATTGCTAACTTGAAGGTAAAAGAAAATCGAGAGAATTAAATTGAAATTATGTATTTAAACATCGTTTAAGTTTATTCAACTTGATTTTTTCTCTTTGCTCCAGTTTTTCAAAGTCGAATTTTTGGGTGGAATCGAGACTTTTATTTTTTTAAATTTAATTTGATGAATTTATATTTATGTTAAAAAATAAAGTTCACTGGTGTTTTTTATTGACAATGTAACAATTTTAAATTTTGAAATCATTACGTTTGGAGAGTAGCCAACAATTTGCTATTCCATTTTATTGGTCAGAGACTCTTTCATTGTATAGATTCCGGTTGTTGTTCCTGGACCTTTTTTAATTCATAGTAAACATCGATAATTACTGCCTTTTGCATACTGAATCATTTCTTGTACTTTCTCATAGGTCAAAGATTTTGATACCGATATGTTAATAAGATCCCACAAAATATCCATTGCTCATCCGCATAAAATGTTATCATATCATATGATAAAAATTATTTTTATCTCAACATCTTTCTTTTTGACACGTATATTTCAAAGGCATCCATCACTTACAAATCTTCCCATTCATTATTCTGAATGGAATTTACAATAAAACCATATAGTGACGAAGGATAACCGAAACTGGATTGCCACTCCCAAAACATTGCTGAAAGAACGAGGAGTTGCTACAAAATGTTGGTTTTCAAAATTTAAAGTACTTTTATTGGAACCTTTCCTCTCAAGCAAACATTTTGACGTATTTTTCCAATTGCTTAGACATTAGTTCTCGAATCTTGGGCACATTAATACTTGAGTTGATTCCGTTTTTAAATATGTTACTCCAAGTCACGCCTGTTTAATGCGTCATGTGACAAAATAAACCCGGGTTGTCCTTCTGTTATTAATCTGACGTAATCATCCAATTCTAAGATGCAATAAATAATAAAGCAGGGGTTTTCGATATATGAATATAATCCTGCCCGGGCAAATGCAATATTGCCAAGAGCTTTGCCGTTTTCAGGTGGTATCTGGATGGGAGTTGAAGGGTCTATAGAGATAATATAAAAGCCACTGGTTCCTTTGAAAGCAATTCTTCAGAACTTGTCGTCACACCATTTCTGAAATGTTTTAACAGTTGTGTCGATTCCATACTCTTTCTTACACAACATCTGAGCCTCGTCTGAGCCTCATCACTATTGAAATCTTTACGGAAAAAATTGTTTCCCATAGCCTGCCAAACGCATCCCAGTTGTATTTTACTCTAAAATGTCGAAACTCTTATTACTCTGTGGTACGAATATTCTGGCGATTTAGCCAAGTAATCTTCCAAACAAAACCCAATCATGGATGGTATAATTGACGATGTTAAAAAAACACACTACTTGGACAAAAGAATCAGTAGATCTAATATTTTAGTTAAATTACGCAAAACGTACATAATAAAATTTATGAGTTATGAATATTCATTTAAAATTTTTTGAGTGAAGATCATTCATTTCTTTTTTGAATTTAGGGTCATGCAAATTTCTTCTTGATAGTCTTATTGCAAATCGGTTTCAGTATTAAATTAGTCTTTAATTTTTATCAGCTGATCATTATTTTTCAACAAATTTTTCCAACCAGGCTGGTCCGCGTAACCCTAAATGAGTATTTAGCTAAACCGACTAAACTATTAAATCATTACATTAAGTCAATTTTAATCAAGACCAAATTAGGATTTTAATCCTTTACGCAGTCAGCCCTACATCCAACACCCATATTCCTATATACCCGATTTAAAGGCATAAAATGAGTCTTTTCTATGAAATAAATAAACGGGAACTTCACGACCATAAATATTTTACCTTCCCAGAGAAATAAAAGTCGTACAGACTCTAAAATGATAACTGTATGGTGAGATGTCAAAAACCGAAGCTTGATAAAAAAACATTAATAGCTGATACTCACTAACAAACATAATCGTGAATATTCTCAATGCTACCACTAGTGTTTGCTGGGTACAGACAGGTCAGGAATAAAGAATGGCAACGTCAGAAATTAAAGGAGAAAATCACAAACGGTGCACCAAACGTTCCTTCAAATATTAGTGTTACTATTGTAACAACTTCCAATTATCCTTGTGCGTTGATTGCTTGATGTTTTGATTGTTTGCAAAATTTAATTGATGAATGAGTGAATCGAACACAATAAAAGCAGGGTGCTAACCAAATTCGGAAATTATTTTTCTACAAAAATCACCTTTGAATAGAAAGTTGTACTATGATTTGTTCCATTACATTAAAAAATTTTTTTGTTCAATCATATTTAAAGAAAGAAAAAAGTACTATGGGTGTCGTAAGCTAATATTAAAGAAATGTCGATCGTTTTATGTTTATTTAGGGAAGAATGAGCCACATATTAGTGTAACGATATTTATACCCCTGAAATTTTAATCATTCTCTGGTTTTTGTTGTAATGTGTCCCCCAAATAATAAATAATATTAATATATATTTTTAAGACAAATTTTATTACTAAAAAACTTTTAGTAAACATTCAAAACATCAACATTATCAAAATACTTTTTAAAACTTACAATGGCAACAAGCAACACAATGAATTTTGGACCGGAGTGGTATGTTCCATTTTTTTTAAAAAAAAATTTTGAGTTGGTTAGATTTCCATAAATAAATTCCAAGATATATATATATATATATATACATAATATTTATTGATTGTTTCAAATAAATAAAAATTTATTTTAAAGGATGAGACGTTACCCTCCAAAGACTCCAACGTCTGATATGAATCGTGCAACTTCACCAACTTTACTGTCATCTAATAATAATAATAATGTCACTACCAATGCAACGAATAACTTTAATAGTAGCAACAATAATATTAATTCAATCAATAATAACATTCACAATAATAACAATAGTAGCGCCACAACGACAAATACATATTCTTGGTCTTCAGTGGCCGCCGCTAGTAATAATTCACTTACAAATCGTCTTATCAACGAGACTTCCGAAAAATCTGAAGTACCAGGCTCAAACGATTCAGCTTTGAATCCATTTAAATATTCTAAAGAATACATGCTTAAACTATATAAGCCTGTAGGGCTACCTTTAGAGTTTGAAAGACATGAATATGTTACAAGCGAGGAACCATTACAGCCCATGGCTACAATAGCACTAACGGAACAAGAACAAAAGGTATTTTATAAATGAATGAATGAATGGTATATAATGATTATATGACTGTTTTCATTTATGAAAATCTTTTTCAATTAAATAAATTGGAAATTCTTAAAAATTAAAATTTTTTAATTTCACTAAACAAAATTTATTCGTTGTATGCATACACATTATTTCTTTTTTAGTTATTGTCAGGTACTTCTGTTAATAGTGATCTTACTCGTCGTATTATCTCTAATGCCACAGGTGGGACCATCACAGGTGGTGAACGTACAGAAAGGGAAAGGCCACCTTACCCTCGTGGAGAAAAACACATTTCCACAGCATTGACCTCGCCAAAAAACGATCGTTTTACTGGAATTATAGGGGGCGTACTTAATAATGGTCGAACGAGTCCACGTAATAGTCGACCTACCAGAGCATCATTAACATCATCATCATCTATCACAACAGAAAAAATGACTACTACTACAACGAATACAACAACGAATACAGATGATCCGGTATGGAATGGCGTCACCAGGCATACTGTTGGTACTTTTGACAGTAATGGTGTCTTTCGAATTCCGGGAGGTATTACAGATGATGATGCATTAGATAAATCTAAGATAGATGATGATGATTATGATTATGAAGAAGAGGGTGACGACAGTGCCAAAAAAATAGAACAAGAGGTTGGTAGATGATTCCTATTCACATATATATATATATATATATATCAATGAGACAAAGAGTCACATTTCATTTTTTCTCAATGCAGTTTGAAAAGAAGGCCCCAATAGAAAATTCGACCTCTTCTAATAAAATTTCTCAAAATGGTGATGTCCTGCTACACAAAAAAGAGTGGACAGATGTACATGATAAGTTTCCACATAACTCTTCCCCAAAAGAAGACGACGAAAAAGAAGAAAATAGTTCGAGAACTTTTTCCACAGAAGAACTGAAAACCTCTCTGCAAGAGTTTTCAGAAGAAAAATTTAACCACTATCACCACTACCACCAACATCATCAAAAGCAGCAGCAAGATGAAATGGTGCAACAGGAAATAGAGGACAAACGACAACAAAAATTATCTGAAACTCAATCCTCTTCGCCTGAGAATCAGAATCCTTACACTAGGAAAACTATACAACAACGACGACAACAACAAGAAGAGGCTGAAAATGAATACAATGACACTTTGCAAGTGATCGAACAAATTCGAAATGATAATTTGGATTCGCCTGAACAAAAACATTCGAATCGAGAAGCTCCAAATAAAACACTCGAAGAATCAAATGAAACTAGTGATGAAGTTGAATCAGAAAACGGTCGCGATAATTTATTGATTGAGCAGCAGCAACAATTTTTAAATCAATTAAGTATACAAGATGAAAAAGAAAAGGAGGAACGACAGCTCTTAAAGGATAACGAAGAGATAAGGAGATTCCAGTTGCAACAACAACAACAGCTGCAGCTGCATCTGCAACAACAGCAACAAGATAAAGAGCAAAGTTTAAAATTACAATTAAAGCAGGAACATGAACAAAAGCAAATGCAACTCCTACAACTACAACAATATCAACAGCAGCAACAAAAACAACAACAGCAGATTCAACAACAGCAACAACAGCAACTTCAACAACAACAATTTCACCATCATCAGCAACCAAAACAACATGTGTTGCAGCAACAACAACTTTTTCAAGATCGTCAAGAAGTTTTGCAACAACATCAACAAAGCCACCAACATCAACATCGACAACAACATTTATTACAACATCATCATCCTCAAAAATTATTGTTGTCACATCATCTTGACCCAGACCAGGATGATGACGTATTGAAAGAAGCATTTGCTTACCCAAGCATAGGTGGTAATTCTCCTCCACTATCCCCTACTGCAAAGAATCCTAAATATTCTTCTGCGCATTCTATCATTAATGCAGCTAATGGGGTGACTAGTCTTTTTGCTAATGCTGCAATAAATCCTGAGCCGAGGAAACTTCCTGTAGAACCAAATTCTAAATGGTTATATCGTGATCCAACTGGCAATATACAAGGTTAATAATATTTCAATGTTTAAATTTTATTTTTAAAATCTGTTAATGGATTGATTAAATTAGCTGATTGAATTAATGTGCGTTTTTCTATTTAACATTTACCAATAAATTTTAGGTCCATTCACTAGTCAAGAGATGAATGATTGGTATAAAGGTGGTTTCTTCAGAACTAATTTGTTGGTTAAAAGAGTTGAAGACCAGACATTTGAACCATTAGGTACATTAATTAGAAAAACTAATGATGAAGATCGACCATTTTCCGCACCTGTAATTGTTAATCGGCCTAATTTAACAATCGCAACTGCAAATAATACATCAAGATTAGTTAATGATCCATTTCAACGTAACTGGGTTGCGCCTAATTCACCGAGTACTGCACAATTATTTATGGATCATCAACAGAGATTTAATCCGTTTGGTGCAGCTACAACAGCAGCTACTACAACAACATCTGTTCCCAATACTCCTTTTGAACGGTATCAATTTGGTGGTGTTTTCGGGAGAAATGATATTACAAATGGTTGGGGTGATTTTACATCTACTACAAATAATAGTAATGCATGGGTAACGGCAACAGAAGGATTCAATTCAAATGCAGGTAACCTATCACCCCGTATGCAACCACCAACTAATACAACAAACTACGGCACATCTCCTCCACAAGGATATTTGGATCATCAACGAGCGTTGTCCTCACAAATTGAAAGACAACAACAACAACAACAATATTTGTTGCTACAACAGCAGCAGCAACAAAGGCAATTACAACAACAGCAGCTACAGCAAAACCAGCATCCTTATTCTGATACATTTATACGACAACAACAACAGCAGCAGCAGCAGCAGCAGCAACAACCAACTTATGTTGGAATATCTGGGCCTGTCTCTGCTCCTATAGCCAACGCTCCTACCGGAACATTTATTGATGCGTTGACAAGAAATTCCGGATGGCATAATACAACGGATCAACAACAACCGCCACCTCCATCGCCATGGAGTGTCATTGCGCCTAATGTTGGCATTACACCTTCACGTATTCCACCAACTGATGAGATTGGATATTTTGGTGTTAGAAAAGAACCAAATATTCCTTTAACACAGTTACCACACACTACTTCTCATATAGAACAACTACAACCTCGTTCCAATGAACAACAACTTCAGCAACTTCAGCACCAGCAGCAAATTATTCAACAGCAGTTCCATCAACAACAACAACAACAGCAACAACAGCAACAACAGCAGCAGCAACAGCAGCAGCAGCAGCAGCAGCAGCAACAGCAACAGCAGGATCAGCAGCAGGATCAGCAGCAACAGCAGCTTCAACATAATCAACAACATCAACAACATTATGAGATAAGTAATGGACAAATTGTCGATTCAAAAATAGAGAATAATATAATTATTGGAAACGTTGAGACTGTCGTTGATAATATTACAGAAGATATTGATAATTATAATTATAATGATAGTCATAATAATAGTTATAATGGCAATGATGATAACAATGATAGTAATAAAACAGTCGTTGAAAATAAAACCGAGGAATCATCATCATTTAAAAATAAACCAGAAGTGTTAAAGACTGATCCTGTTCAAAAAGAAAAATCATATATTAAGCCTTCATTCCGTGAAATTCAAGCAGAGGAAGAACGTAAAAAGCAAAAAGAAGAAAAAGAAAAAGCGACCATTAATTCAGTTTATCCCACCAATAATAGTAATATTAACAATATTAATAATAGTGCTCTTCCAAAACCAACACAAACTCAAAAAATGTCAGGTAATGCTTGGTCAAACAATAGTCCAGTGAATGCATCTTCACCGGCACCATGGGCTAAAGATGAAGAACATTCAACAACTCACAAAGCACCATCTTTACGAGAAATTCAAGAAGTGGAAGCACGTAAAGCTGCAGAACGTAAAGCTATAGCAGCGGCAGCAGCTACTGCTTCTACTGCTACGACATCTACAGCATCCAACATCAGTTCAAATGCTACTGCAAGCAAAGATGAGGTTATTACAGCAAGTTGGGGAATCACTGTGCCTTCATCATCTAATGAATCAAATTCGTCTTCATCATCCACTTCGCCTACTATTACTACACCTGCCTGGCAATCCAGTACTAATGCACCAAAAAAGACATTTAGAGAAATTCAAAAAGAGGAAGAGGAAGAAGCTATTAGAAGAAGAAAAAATAAAATACGTGAAATGCAACAACAAAATTCACATGGAACTAATACTGTCAGTCACACAACTGTTCAAAGTAGCATCGGAAAACGTTATGCTGATACAGTGACAACCGGTGGAGCGGTTGGAGTAGTGGGTAGTGTTGTTGTTAAGGTAAAATTTATTTTGAAATAAATACTCGTTTAAAAAAATTTCGTGATTGAGATTTTTATATATTAATTTATAGAAGCCACCACCAACACCGACGACGACGATTACAAACACAAACACAAATACAGTGTCTACACCTTGGATTACTGTTGCTAGCAAATCATCTAATAGAGCATCAACAGTAGCTTCGACCTCAGTAAATACGACATCTAATGCTACAACTCATAATGGGTTGACAAAATCAAATAATACGACCAACACTACTATTACTTCAAAGGATTCAACATCAGCATGGGATACAGTTGAATTTCAAAAAGGAAATAATATTTTACAGAATAGTTCTAGGTATTTTATATATAAATTAAAAATATTTGATTTTATTATATAAGATATATCATTTCAGTGTTATAATAAAATATTGATTGATTGATTATAATTAGACCTCAAAGTGGCCAATCAGTCAAACAGAAAGATGCCAATAAAAGTACAACAAAAGGTGCTCCTAAATCTAATAACGCAAGTTCCACAGGAGGAGGAAATATTTCTTCGGAAAATACTAATACGCTACGCCCACCTTCAGATGAATTTTTGAAATGGTGTAGACAAGCTTTACGTGGATTAAATAATGATGCCAATGGTATGATGATATAATATATTGGATCATTTTATATTTGTTTTAAATATTTATTCATACACATGCTAACATTCTCATTTATTCATGTTTAACAGCTGATGATTGTATACAAATGTTGCTCACATTTCCACTTGACCCGCCACCAGCAACCATTGAAATTATACAAGATATCATATATGCACATTCATCATCGTTAGATGGGCGACGATTTGCTGATGAATTTATTAAAAGGAGAAAAGCAGATGTTAACTCAGCCGGTTCAGGTGTTAATCATTCCGAAGGTAGATCAAGCAAAGAAACAGGGCCAGGGGTTTTGAATGTTAAAGATGATTATTCTGGTAATGGTGGTGGTGTTGGAACATTTAAAATTGTCACAACCAAAAAAGGCAAAAAAAAACATTAGAGAAAATCAAAAAAATTTAAATTTATTTTTTATTATTATTCCATAATATTATATAATTATTATTATTCATAAAAAAAAGTTTCTTGATTATATCCTTGACATTATAAATTTTTATTAATAAATTTTTTTTGTGAGTATATAAACACAAAGAAGGAAGGACATGATTAAATGTTCATTATGTACACTTAATTCATTAAGCATGAATATGCTTTCCTTTTTACAAATTAAATCACAATTTTAAAACAATCCCTCTAAATAATCAAAATAAAAATTTAGAAATTGGATAATTAGCAGTTAATGTCTTGATCACACAAACAATCTTTTTTTGTATGGTAATTTGACTGACTAACCCAATAGACTTTAATATAAATTACTGAAACCTTATTATTTTTAAACTTGCAATTGAAACATTGCTTTAATGACTAAAAAATATTGAATTACATACATCAAAAAGAATTTATTATTTTTAAATTACAAGTGCTAAATAATAATAATAAATGGTGATAAAAGAAGATAAATCTTTAATTTGTTACCTCTACGGAAATTTTTTGTTTAGTATTAAATACAACTGGATGATGCACATTTGGAAAATCGTTGGTTGGAAAGACTCCTGTTTTAGATTGATTATGGTTTAGTTAAATTATAATTGTTTGTAATTAGTTTTTTATTCATTTTTCATTTGTTTTTGTTGTGATGATGATGATTTTATATTCTTATTATTGTTATTTGAATCTTCTGAAATAGCAAAAACCCAAAATGAAAGTAGCAAAGCATTTACTACGATAACAGCTGAAATTGCTGCTTTTGTTGTATCATGTTCTTTAATTAATTGATCAATATATATAATCATTTAATTAGTAAATCTGGATAAATGTATATAATTGATTGATTGATTGATTGATTGATTGATTTAATTACCTTCAAATATATAATTCAATGCAAAGTAATAAGTTGCAATTGGAACCAATATTATAAGAATAATATATAAATAAAGTCTGAAAATCATTCCACTAAATTAAAGATTTGAAAATTTACTAAAAATTTTCTTTCGTATTAGAAAAATACATTAATGATTTATTTATTACTTTGATGCTTTGGATGCTTTCGTTTCGATGATTGAATCGCTTGATGACGAATTTTTCATATTTAAATTAATTTGATATTTTAAAAATATTTATTAATTATTGCTCTGTCGATCCTGGTCCGATAAAGCAGTGCCAGTGTTGAAATTTCGTCGTGTAACCAGTACAAATTTAGAAACTATCTCCAAAAATTAAAAGGTTGATTAGTGTGTAATGTTACACCTCCGCATTCCCCGCACCGAATTTTCAACACTGAGCAGTGCCCGAAATTCGATTTGCGCACAAAATTTGCTGATCAAATTTGGTTGTCATTTGCCATGTCATGATCTTTCTTTTTATGTTTAGTCTATTGATGTGATCTGTATATGTAGATATCTGTCATCCGTTCATCCGTCATTTAACTCTAAAAATTAATCTGTCGTTTAGTAATTTCTCAAAGAATACACGCGTCGGATTGAGCGGATAATCTATAGAATCCATAGAATTGAACTGATTATGATGATCCAGATGATTCATGGATTGAATAGATTGAACGGATAATCCAATGATATTAATATTAGTGAAATATTATTAAAATTAAATAATTTTGATAATTCATATGTTCAAATTGAAATTAACTCAGTAGATGAATAAATTTAACGCAATTTGCATTTCTTTTTAAAAACAACATTTGTTTAAATAATTCTAGATCTAAACGTGATCTCAGCAGTTAATAAATTCCCCACATGATTGAATAATCTTTCACTTGGTGTTGAAGTTGCTGAGACAGAAAGGGATTGGTGGGCAAGCTTTGCAAGAAGAGGGTACCTGGATTTTTTGTATTTCTGCCAATCAAAAGGACTAGAATAATTCAATCTCACCTTCTTTTAAATATTCACTTACTTCATCTGAAGACAGATTTTGACTTGATGTATTAAAAATTGAAAAAAGTATCGGTGTTTCAATTAGATGAAAATGATGAAGATAAAAATATTATTTTAACGTTGCAAAAATACATAATATTTGTACGGATAATTTGGATATTAATATCCTATTACTATAATAATAATAATTTCTAAAATTGATCCACAATCCACCAGCCTTTTAAAAAAGCTATCCATCAATCCGAATATGAATGTATTTTTTTACAGATATCCAGATTGATCACCCATAGATCGCATCTCTAGTTAGTCGTGCTTGGCTTTTTTAGTTTTGGTGTGATCAATGTTTTCACCTTATTTAGCCAATTTTGAGTCATAATAATTTCTGAGCGAGTAGGAAAAACTACAATAACAGCAATAATAGTAATAATCAGAAATTTATTTTCATAAATATCAATAATACAAATCAATCAATAAATATTAAATTATATTTCAAAATTTGGTTTATTACTCTACTCCTAGTATTATTAACAAAAATTATACTTTATTACCAATTCATGTGTTCTCGTGATTATGAAATATTATAAAAACTACCAAATGACAAGCCACCAATTATCAACAAGACAGTTCTTTTCGATAAACTGGAAGAATCGGTAATAAGGAAAGAAGATGGATAATCAAACAAAACTTGAAACTAGAAGAAAGGGAGATTTGAAAAATTCAAAATTAATGTTAGGATCATCCAGTGATCAAAGGAAATGGGTATTAAAAGGAATTCAAAAGGGAATCGGGTCAAATGTTCATCTTTACTGAGAGAAAAGAGACCCCAGCAAGAGAAAAGCAAGGAAGGATCAACTCTGACCAAGAGAATCGAAAAAAAATTTTAAAATAAAAAAAAAAGATGAAAATTGTGAACAATACAATATAACAATATAACAAATATACATGGGGTGGTAATTGTTTTGCCAAAAACGTAATACGTAATTACGAATTTATTTACTATTACTATTACTATTACAAAATTAATTACGTGTGAAACTAATTACGAACAGCGAAATTAATTACGAATGACGAAATTATTCATTATTATCATGTAAAATCCAAGCACTAACATAAAATTTTAAATTTTTTCAAACCATAAACAATATCTTGCTTTTAAAGTAAAAAAAAATCATTTTTAATGAAAGACTCCATGAGCAATTTTACTTAAAATAGGACATATTTTCTATGAACAGGTACTTTAATTATTGTAAAATACAAGTTTTTATTTTATTATCCTAAAATGATATCCTTTAAATATAAAAACACATATTGAATATTGTGAGGACGAAAAGAAGTTAAGCCACAATGCAGCAATTAAATTAACCAGTGTAGTGTTAACAACGGGTTGTACAGAAAATTATATTTATTCTGAACGAGTCTCTCGTTATAACGACATTTGTTATAATAATAATCTTGTTATAATGGCATTTTTTAAAAAACCAAAAAAATTTGCTCCCGTTATAATGACACCTGTTGTTTATACTAATATAATGACATAATTTGTCAAATTTCTCTATTAAATGGGAGAAATCATTCTGATCATGATAAGGAAATTAAAACTTACGCATCATGGAAAATTCTGATAACACTTCCGTATAATGCTGACCCGGTTAATCGGGTGCTGAAAATTTTTCATTGATTGATTAATCGGTGAATAATCGGTGGTACAGAAATATAAAAGATAAAAATTTTAATCCACATAATTGAAAGAATTACTAATATATTAACAATACTATTTTATGCACTATTACACTATCACCAACATTCTTTCTATTATAATAACATATCAAGTAATATGAATACCAACTGTGTCATTATTATCTAAAGAATATTTATGCATTACAGTAACTTCTACTCCAAATGAGCGTCTACAGCTAAACCTTGTCACAGCGGACTATAATTATAACGGATTTTTAAAATTTTTGCTTCACATTCACATTAAAATATAAAACATAAAAATCCATTGTGTGAAACTGGTAACACAATGACAGCCGAACGAATAAAATTGAGTCCGTTGTTATTTTTATTTCTTAAAAAAAAAATATGCAATGTATTGAAATTATTTTTCCTGAGGAATAAATAATTATTATAAATCAATGAATATTAAATGAATATTCAATGGATATTTGGCGGATATTCGGTGAATGACCAATTATCCGGGTGTTGAGTTTTATTGACTGACCGATTATCCGGGTGTTGAGCTTTATTGATTGACCAAGTACTCAAACACCCGGATAATCAACAGATACAACCACTAACCGTAGAATAATTAACACAATGTATAAAACATGAATGAAATTTGCTGGTTCTATTCAAACCATCTTCTGAAAGGTTAAAGATATTAATGATAATTTGCCAGAGGCTAGCAAAATTAGGATCTATCACAAGTCCCTACAGAAAGTATTAGGTAAATTAAAAGATAATAGATAATTACAGAAAAATTTCGAAAGTTGCTATTTTCCCTAGTGTTAAAAAAAATATATAATAAAAATAAAATCATAAAATCACATGACAACGATTCTCATATGACTTCTATATCAACTCCCATTATAATGACAATCTCGTTATACTGACATTTTTTGCTTGTTCGGAGAGTGTCGTTATAGCGGGGGTGACTTGTATTATTGTGGTATTTCCAATAATTAATTCGTTACTCGTAATTAGTTTTGTCACGCGTGTTTAATTTCGTAATTACGTTTTTAAAGAAGGAAAGTGATAGTAATTACGTATTACGTATTTACGGTAATTAGGAAATTACTAGAGATGGGCAGATCAGTACTATACGTATAGTGATTGATACATATAGTGCGTATAGTTCTAGAAAAATATAGTAGTAAATGTAAATCAATTCCTGTTTAGGTTATTGTCAAATAATAGATGTAATATTACTCTTCTCATGATATATATATTTTAAACTTGCCTGCAATTTGGCAACATTTTAATATTAACGTTCTAGTTCAATATCTAGATGTGAAAAACATTTACGTCTTTGTCCAAATGCCACAATACAAATTAA